TTAGACAAAAAAGATAGGATAGCTGGAACTGTTAGCAATGACAACCTAAAGGGGGAATTTGAGCTAGTTCTTAGGTTTAGCAAGATTGTACTAGACCAGGTCCTTAATTTCTACCCTCATTAAAAGGAACATAAAGATTGGATGACGGTGAGTTGGCAAGAGATTAAGATACAGTATTTTTGAGAATTTAGATGCTATGAAAATGGATATGTTATAGCACTGATTCAGTGTTTACACTTTAGTCATTTAGTAGGGACTCTTGACATTACTAACCTAAAGATGAAAAGGTAAATGTCATAGGAAAAGATATTTACCTCTTAAAACTATCACTTTTAAAATTTTATAATTATTTGGTTTATTTGAATCGAAGGTAAGTAGATGCTTCCTGATGACCTTATACTTTCAGTGCGTGAAGTTTTTCGTATTCCTTGCATTGTTTTCCTTGCCACATCAAGCATGCCCTAGCCTGTTAAAACCTCTGATACAGCTTTTTATTTTTTAATTCAGCAAATGTTACTGAGCATTTGCTGCATGTAAGGCATTATGCTGGATGCTAGGAATATGGCATTGTGAATAAGACCAAAAAATGGCTGTATTGTGTTAGGATTCTCCAGAGACACAGCACTGATGGATTATATATACAGGCAGACCTTGAATGTATTACAGGTTCAGTTCCAGATCACCACAGTAAAGCAAAGTTACACAAACTTTTTGGTTTCCCAGTGCATAAAGTTATGTTTACGCTATAGTGTAGTAAGTCCTAACCATAATTTGAGCTTTCAGCAAGTTGTGATCTTTCTGCAGTAGTAACATCAAACATAAAAATCACTGATCACAGATGACCATAACAAATACAATAATAATGAAAAGGTTTGAAATATTGTGAGAATTACCAAAATGTGACAGACACAAAGTGAGCAGATACTGTTGGAAAATGGTGCCAATACACTGTTGGACACAGGGTTGCCACAAAACTTGAATATGTAAAACGTGATATCTGTAAAGAACAATAAATCAAGATCTGCTTATAGATACACAGGAAGACATTTATTATGAGGGATTGGCTCAGGTGATTATACAGGCTAAAAAGTCCATGATGTGTGATCTTGCAAGCTAGGGGCCCAGGAAAACCAGCAGTAGTTCTAGTCAAGCCTGAAGGCCTGAGAACCAGGGAAGCTAATTTAGGTCCTGGTTTGAGTCCTGATGTCTGAACAGGAGCATGGATGTCCAGGGGAGGAGAAGATGGCTGTCTCAGCTCTAGCAGAGTACATTTTCTCTTCCTCTGTCTTTCTGTTCTATTCAGGACCCCAGCCCTGGCCCCACTTTGGGTGTGGGGTGATCTTTACTTAGTCTGTTACTGAAATGCTAATCACCTCTTGAGACACCTTCACAGACACCCCAAAATGTTTTACCAGCTATTCCAGCATCCCATAGCCCAGTTAGAATGATGCATACAATTAACCTGTAGTCAATTCCCACTTACCTCATTTTTCTGAATTCTGTTAGCATCTTTTTTTGTCAGCACCAATAACTTGTACCAGTATCATCTTAGATGTGTGCTTTTTGTGTGTGCCTTCATGTTTTAATTAGAATTTGTTTGGATATGGGTTTAGAGGAAAGGAAATGAAAGCAGAGAGATTTGCTTTGCCTTTTCTAGCATCTTCTTCAGACCTTAAGGTACCCTTTTTTTATGTTCTAAGTAATGATGGTTTTCTAAATTGCAGGCTCATTCTTCAGCCTACTTCCTTGATTGGCCAGGCAACACTAAGTCTAAAGGCATTGATTTGAAACAAAGGGAAATTGAGTCTCCTGCATTTTTTTTTCTTCTGTCCGTTAAATTACTTGATTCTTCTATGTTTTGAAACTGTTAGGAGGAATAGCTCCAAATCATGATCACTCCAAATCAAGAAAGCTCCAAGTCAAACCAGTTTTTTGTTTTTCCCCAATCTTACAGGAATCTGAGCTACCTACAGTGCGTACATTACTTTACCACAGGGTACTTAGTACCAACACATTGTTGCTCACATTAAAAAAATGTCTAAAGATAAAACCTAAGTTTTTAGGCTGAAGGCACCTCAAAGTGAAGAACAGAAGTGAAATTTTCATGTTGCTATGTTTCAAATTAATCTGCAAACTTAAATGCTCTCAGAATCAGATTAGTACTTGCTCATTACCTAGGTTCTGTGAGGACTGAACATTAAGCTCTATCTTACCAGGTATAGAGTGAGAAATACCAAAGTAACTACTTGAATATTGTATTGTTAAGGGGTTGGATCTTGGATCCAAGCAGTAGTCAGTGGCTATGGGAATTCCGTGAAATGGGAAAACACTGTAGGATAGGCTACTTAAGGAAGATTTCTTTGGCATTCAAAATTGAAATGGGGAGTTAGAAGCTCTCAAAATAGAAGTGGAAAACCTGGAAGTGAAGGTAGAACTGACTAAAAGTAGGATTTGGATAAGCAGAAGACTGTTTCTGGCTCCTAATCTGTGTGTAATAATATCTGGATGGAAAGCACAGATGGGGAGGGAATGAGGTGTTAGCTTTAGAGAAATAAAGCTATCTATTCCTTGAGATCAAAAGGAAGTATGAAAGATAGAAACACCTGTCACTTAGGTTTAAGGAGCTATAGTACCAATCTCTAAGCAAAAATCCTAATTATTTTAGAAATGGATAGTTGTTCCATAGAGGAAATGCCTTTGAAACATTTATGTTTTAGCAGGTTTTTTTCTTTATGGACTGTTTTTCTTTTTGACGTTGCAAATAGTGGGTCTGTCTAAATCTCTTAAGTAAACAAATAAGGATAGAAGTGCCCATTAGCTTGACTTAGAGTATTCTGTTAAAGGCTTAATTTGCAGATGACTTCTCATAAAGTGCATTGTGAAATTGTATAATTACATGAAGAAGTGTAAATTTGTGCCTTTTATATTTCCGGTTTGTATTTGGACACGGGTGGTTGTAAATTTTACTTGTTTATTGTAGTTTTGTTACGTAGCCATTGATGCACATCTGCTTGTGTAGACATGGCTTGTAATCTTAAGAGAGTTGATTTATGCTTTCCCTTTTGCCTTTGACTTCTTGTGACTTCCTGTCATTGCCTTAGCTCTTTCTGGAGTTGGTGTTCTTGTATAGAGTCTTTTTTCCTTTAAAACCTAGATAAATTAGATTTACATAAAAAATCCTCTCTAACACTTAACGATTGGACATTTAAAATGGCAAAGGCTGGTTCCTGCCAGCTTCCTAGCACAGATCTGCCTCTGCCGTTAAGTAAAGGAAGACGAAAAAAAAGGAAGGAAAACAGAATAAACAGAGGAAATTCCAGGAAAGGAGAACATAACCTTTTCACTTTGTTAATCACTTATCTTTTAATATTATTATTTGTTATGTTTTATCCATCTTCACCCACCTACACACCCACCCCACAAAAAACCCACCACCGTGAGCTTTTCTTTGAAGTAAATGTTTGAATGAATGTGAAGGGTATTGAATTCCTATATGGAAAATAAGGTTAGAAAAGGGAAAATTAAAGCAGCTTTGAACACAGTTTTAGGTGCAATAAGCACAGCCCAGCTCTACCATTGACAAATCTGTTGCTTTTCTTAGGCTAGTGGGGACAGTCTCTATAAGGTTAAACAGAAAGTCTTTACCTACCTTTTTTTAATTTTTTTTTTTAACAAAGTCAGTGTGAGAATGAATACCTTTTTATGTGTTTGATGATAGTTACTCATGTGTCATGTTAGGAAATAGTCCTCTGGAACAGTTGAAGCAAAAATGTAGTAAGGAATGTGAACTTTTTAAGCCTAGTCCCTTTATGATCTTTACGTAAGATTCCAGGGAGTATATTCGTTGTATCTGAATATGGGGCCATGCTTGCATTTTTTAGAAAAATATAATTATTAAGATATTAAACCCATATTAGCTAGTTTCAGTCTTGGTTTTCTTTCATATCAACTAAAAACCTGCATTACAGCAAAATTTTTAAAAAGGAGTGAAAAGCAGTAGACAGGTTCCCACTAGACCAATACTTACTAATGCTTTTAACACATATATATTTTTTAAGCTCTTTTCCCCTGTTTTGAAAATTTTTTAAATAAACTTTTCAAATGGTAAATCCTGGTATCAGTCTTAACTAGAGTTAACAAAAAAAATCATTCCAGTCTAGCTGTAAAATACTCCCCCACACCTTTTTTTTGTTTTTGTTTGTTTGTTTCTGCTTTTTTTTAATATTTTAAATAATGGCCAGTTTTCTTTTCAAGCTGAATTCATAATCTAGATTAGTTTGAAATAAAAATAGTAGTGCTCGTTTTTAGAAAATTACCCCTACCAGACTTAGAGGCATATAGAAACTTGAAATCATTTATTGCAGTGATTCCCAGTCCTTGGATTGAAGTCTCTGAAATTAGCAGTTGATATGCCTAAAATTATTGGATACAAGTGGTATGTTTATCTGCAGTAATGTAACATGGGATAATTAAAAGCGTGATTCCTCCATAAAAAGCAGATGTCATCTTTGTGGTAATACTGTTCAGATTCTGTAATCTGAAATTAAGCAAAAAACTTTATTAATAAAACTTGGTAGGAAATGAAACAGTTACAATAAAAGATATCTCTGCTTTTTGAAATGTTTTGGAATGGCTATGTAATCTCCTTCATTTCTCCAGTTAGAAAGTAGACCAGATGAAATTAAGGAACTTGCCCAAAGTCACAGGCATCAGTGGCAGTTGGGTATAGAATTAACCTGCCCTGATAAGAGGAGTGTTAAGTCTGCCACACAAGTCCTAACTTAATAGAACAATGAGGTCACTCTTTACCCTTATTTTGTGTTGGGCAATGTGGTCAGTTAGTGAGTTAGTGGGTTCATTGACTGCACAGAGGAAAACTTAACTTTAAGTAAAGCCTAACCAGAGAGGAAAAACTGTCTTATTCTTACTTAAAAATTTTTAATATTTCGTGATACTGACTTTTTATAATGCCCTTCCTTTTCGTTTCCCCCTTTTGTTAGGTGGTATGGTCAGGAAAAAGACTACAATGTGCTAGTCATGGATCTTCTTGGACCCAGCCTCGAAGACCTCTTCAATTTCTGTTCAAGAAGGTTCACAATGAAAACTGTACTTATGTTAGCTGACCAGGTATGTGAAATTTTTATGAGAATAAAAATTGAGAAATACTATTGTTCAACACTATTTGACTATAATTTAAATGTATGTAAGCTAGACTATTATAATCTTGTGTGTCACTATTTAAGCATTATATCAGCAAAAAAAGATACAGATAATAAGATGTACTTATTCAAGTGTATTACTCTGATATTACTTGTAGATGTTTTCCTATGGATATGGGACGAAAATGGATTATACTGGTTTATTACTTACCTGTAGACTGGTAGTTTTTAAGGTGCTTCCATCAGACGGAGTGTATTTGTTTTAGTGTTGAATGTAGCAGTTTTCCTTGTAAGATTTTGAAGAAAGGATTTGGAGTGTATATATGTATCCATAAATATGTATGTTGAAATTTTGGTTAAATTAAACAAATTGAATGCTATGTATTATATGTGGAACCCTTATGAAAGGTGTATTTTTTGAGGAAAATAAGGTACTGAAATAACTTAAGGAAGAATTTTTGACCAAGTAGATGTTTCTTGCAGTAAAGGATTCTTAGCCATTGGTAATATTTAAGCAGCACTGCGGAAATTTTAATGTCATGAATTAGATTCATGCTGGAGGGTTGATTAAATTATTTAAAGCCAGAGCTCAGATTTTTTTTAATCTAAAGGAGATGAAGAAAATTAGTTTTAAAGAATTTTAAAATAGGGGAATGGGGTCAGTAACAAGCCTTGAGGAAACCTAATACAGTAAAAGATAATAGGTAAATGTCAAGGAATTTATAATTTTAAAATTTTGGTCACGATACCTTGAAGGGCAAGAAAATGTTGGACGTGCTTCAAGTTAAACTAAATGTATTTATAAAAATGCTGTGGAAGAGATTGACATTATTAAAATTTAGATTGAATGTCATAATAAATTTAAGTGAGGTGATGAACAGAATTGGCATTTGAGGTAGAGTTTTACAAAGTATAAATTCAAAGTATTAAAAAATAATAATAAAGTCAAGGGGTTAGAAAGTAGTGCTTATTTTCTTAATCAGCAACTGTTACTGCCTAAGCTCAACGGAAAAACTCTGAGTGGCTCAAGCAAATATTAGCAAATTACAGTGTTCTATTTGTGGCACGTTAAAAATTCAAACATTAAACAGTTAAAAAACCTTTCAATAATGTTTTAACTAACATGAATGAATCTTAACGAAAGTTTATATTCTGTAGGTTCAGTAACATGCATTCATACAGTGAGCATTTGTTTGGGGCCTGCCACTCACTCTACTTGGATACAAAGAAGAGTGAGAACTAGTATCTTCCCTCTAGGAGCATAGAGTCTAGTGGAGAGAAATGGAAAGGTTCTATCATAGAAGTTTATATTGGATACACTGGTATCATCAGAAAAAGAATGTAATTCATGGAAGGGAGTTGCAAGAAAGCATTTGTTTTAAGGAAGTCACAGCTAAGTCTTGCTCTGTAGATGACAAACAACACTTGAAGTAGTCTGTAGTTTGTGCCGTTAACTATCTTGTGCCTGACCTTAAACCAGTAAGTGAATAGTCATAGTGTAATGATATATTTTACTTAGCTAGGACAAATATATACATAAAGTGAGCCAAATGTGTTTTACTTCTTTAATATGCAAGTTGCTGTTGTACCTAAAAGAGTGATATTTGGACATTGTATAGTTCAAGCCACAGATCATGATTTGGCTTTAAAAGGCATTTGCCAAGGTGTAGAGGAGTAAGGTTTAGAATCTGTATATCCATGGTGATAAAAGCTCTGGAGTTTGAGATTTACAAATGTTAGCCACTATATATAAAAATAGATTTAAAAAAAAGTTCTGTATAGCACAGGGAACTATGTTAAATATCTTGTACTAACCTTTAATAAAAAAATATGAAAACATATATGTATGTATATGCATGACTGGGACATTGTGCTGTACACCAGAAATTGACACATTGTAGTTGACTGTACTTCAATTTTTTTTAATTAATAAATAAATAAAATGGAATCCTGACATATACTACTGAGATGAGCAAGAACATATGGGTAGAAGGATAATGTTGGCAGCCTTTGGATATGAGAAACATTTTCAAATTCAGCTTGTAACTTTTACAGAAAAGGGAGACATATTTGATAATTTGAAAATTAAAACTATTACAGAAGATGCCATAGTGAAGATATTTTTCACAATTTAAATCTATTTACATAATAAATGACTGATTAAAGACTGTCAATTATATGCAAAGAATTCTTTAAAATTGACAAGAAAAGGACAAGCCAAAATAATAATGGACAAAGGCTGTAGATTGACAGTTCATAGAATAGTACTAAATCCAAATGGTCAGTAAAAATAAGTAGATTACCAAATTGTTAGGAAAATTCAAGTGAGATCAATACCTGTCAAATTGGCAAGATTTAGAAAGAACTAAAATAACTTTGCTAGTAGGAAAAAAATGCTGCTGGGAAAGTGAGTTGCTATAGCCTATTCTGAAGGGCAGTCCTGTAGCACCCATCAAAATGAAAAAAACACGTACCCTTCAACCCAGTGACTCCCCATGTAATCTTACAGGATTCATAGCCCATAGAAATAAAAGCACTAGTAGATAAGGATATGTTGGAATATATTAATAACGTTATTGTTTACAATGGGAAAATAAGGCAAACATTGGGAGTACTGTGAGTTAGGGGATAATTGGGGAATACTTCCATCTATACCACAGAATATGTGTAGCCATTAAAAGCAGTGCTAAAACCATACCATTTGACTTGGCAGATTCCAAGAAATTAAGAAAAGCTTGTTAGAATGGCATGTTTCCTTTTCAGTTTTTTAATATGATTGTAGTATGAAGGAAAATCATGGGAGAGTCCAAAAAACATGCAGGAAGGAAACTCAGCTTGTGTATGTCCTATTGATATAAAAGTTACGTACTTACATTGTACGCTACCAACTTTCAGGAGTGTTTGAGATATGTAAAAATAAGGGAACAAGAATAAAGTGAGTAGAATACTTTTATATCAGTTTAAAGCAATAACAATAACTTATAGCTTATATAACAACTACTCTCAAATTATGTGAATTTGTACGTACGTATATAAGAGCTTGGAAATAGATCTGGCTAATACTAGGCTTTTTTAACACAGGTACCTCAGGGGGCGTAAGATTGGTTTTTACTTTATATAATTTATTACAACTGAAACAATTTTAAATTTTACTGCTTTTGTGAATAAAAAATTACAAACATCAGTTCTTCCTATCAGGTTAGGTACTGTCTTGTTTATAATCATTAATATGGAAAGAATAAGCCCAAAGGACATGGCAGGTTTATTCTTAGATCACCATCAATCTAGAGAGAAATGGAGAGCCTGGTTGCCCCTTCTGTTTAATTTTGTCTAGCACTATCTTTGTGAACTCTAAATAAAATTAATAAAATACCTGTGATCTTGAAAAATAATTGACTTGTTGAAATAGTTGAGAAGTAATGTTGCTTTCTTTCGTCTCTTAATTCAAATCACTTACTTGATTCTCTCTCCCCTCTTTTTTCCAGATGATCAGTAGAATTGAATATGTGCATACAAAGAATTTTATACACAGAGACATTAAACCAGATAACTTCCTAATGGGTATTGGGCGTCACTGTAATAAGGTTAGTCAAATGTTCTTTGCATGACAGCACAAAGAGTAAAAAACTTGAAGAATTGCTTTGGTGAACTTTTCAGTCTTTATAAAGTCATAGTAAGTTGAATTTGCTATTGGTAATTGGTTTAAAAGATTGTGCTAAAAGGATAATCTATTAACTTAGTAACTTGAAATACTCTATTAACTTAGTAACTTGAAATAAATTCTCTCCAACTTAACCAAGATTAGTTATCTATGTGGAAATATAAAATTCCAAGGGCTTTATAATGAAATGTAAATCATGTATATCATTTAACTATTCAAAAGTTGTATCTTTTTCATTCATTCAAATGTCAAAAAAAAAAAACCCATGAACTTTTCTTCCTGAATGCTAAAAATTAGATTTTAACCTTTGTCTCTGAAGTGTGGGTTTTTGTAATACATGTGCTTGTGCCAGTGTGGAAACCACTGACATATCTGTCACCATGGCGTTAACATTTGCTGACTGAGCATGGTTGATAATGAGAATTCTTCAGTCCTTGGATTTGTGTATTCAAAAGGATAATTTGGGGCGTGCTTCAAAAGTAGTTTACAGTTTTTATTTGGATGCCAAGTTGGGTGAGTTCTCCACCCCTCTTCTCCCCTTTTTAAGGAAAATAGAGACAAGTGAAATGAATATTCATACATTATTGAGGGGAGGTCCCAGAATGATTGAATTTATTGGGTCATTGGGTTTTAGCTAGTGACGTATGATTGCAGTTAGAAACTAATTATGTTGAATTTTTTTCTGCAATGATTAGTTTTACTGAGTGAATTGCTTTACCGATTTCAATGTTGAGCTCGGGCAGACAGGCAGCATTGGCAATGCACTAAGCATGTTGTGATCTGATGATCTGATAGAAATTTGTCAACTTCAGGACAACTTGGGGGCTTTTTGGGGTTTTTTGTGTTTTTTTGTTTTGTTTTTGGAAGGATTATTCCCATGTGTTTTATTAAACCATTAGGGAATGTTTGGTGTTTTTAGGTCTAGCTATAAATGTTTACCTTTGTTTGCCTGTATGAATGCCAACTTAGAGCCATTACCATTAGAACTGGTGTTATTTGTTAATGTGTGAGACATTAATGTTGTTCTGACCAAGTTTTAGGAAATCTAAGGGGTTTTTTTGTTGTTGAAAGCTTAGCTTTAAATAATAAAAGGTGTTTAAATCTACATATAACCTTTCTTGCCATTCCCAAATTGCATCTTTTTGTTTTTAATATTATGTGGCTTCTCTTTTTGAAGCATCCAGGTTCTTAATTTTCATTGTATAACCTGGTAATTTAATTGAAAAAAAATTACTGGTCTTAATTTTGGGGGGCACTTTTGTTAGCTGACCCTAATATTTTGACCATTTCCCAAGCCCTTTTCCTTCCCATTTTCTTTCTGCTAAAGATCCATTATCATGTGATCCGTGTTCTGCATGTTGACATTGCAGTACATGGTTTTTGTTTTAAATTTAATGATGGCCTAGATAATTCCTCTTTGCTCCCCCCTCCTTTAAAAATAGCTTATTAATCACATAGTTGTGTTAGAAGTCCAAATTGCTTAGTGATACGTAAACCTTTATAGAATCTTGTGTCCTCTTTTAGAGATAGTAAAGAATATTGTGAAGCTGCTTTGCTGCCATACAGATTGAGAGAGACCCAGTGGTAAAAATGCAGTGTTTACCTAAGGTTCAGATTCTAAATGTTGTTCTTGAACATTTTGGATTAGTGTTTGTTTATGTAGTTGGTTTTTAGTGTTTTCTGTATTGTAGTTTAAAAAATGCCAATTGTATGAGACTGGATTCTTGGTAGCTCGTTCCAGTAGTTTTCTGTTTGTGGGAAAGAGTGGAGGGGGTGCTTTTGAGGTTGATTTTTAAAGTCAAATTTCTTATTTGGAAAATTGTTCTGAATTTGATATTTAGGAGTAGTCACTCCAGTCTTAGTGAATTTACTCATCTCTTCCAGTAATCAGCCCTGCATGCTTATGAAAATAAATTTTAAGGTGACTAAATGCCTTCTACCTCTTCCTTACTGAAGATTTTTTCCCTTGTACAATATTTTTTTGGGGGAAGGGCAGATTGTGGTACCAAAGATTACAGATCCAAATTCCCCATTTTTGATTAAAAAATTAAAGAGCCAAATGTCACCATTGCTATCCCTGTTTCAGGCAGTGACACAATATAGTGGCATTAAAAACCTGAGTAAAGAATTCAAATGTTCTTAAGCATGTGATTCTTATTTGGAAAACTGAGAAGCTACAGTGCTTGGTGGAAGAAGGATGGCATTTGGCTACCCTGTTCTTTCTCTAATGCCTCGGTGTTGCCTGTCTGCGCCGGCCATTGTTGCAATGTAAGCAATACTGTTTGATGCACTGCCACCCTCTATTGTCTGTTTAGTGTTTAGAATCTCCAGTGGGGAAGAGGAAAAGAAGCATGACTGTTAGTACTTCTCAGGACCCATCTTTCTCAGGATTAAACCAGGTCTGAAACTGTCTCCTATTCCAACCTCAATCCCAAATTCATGTGCTTTTCTTTTTTATTGTTTTATTTTGATTATTTTTGTTTTGTTTTAATTCTGGAGAATGTAGATCTTACTCAAGCACCTCTTACGTTGGCATTATTCAGACATACTTGGCAAACATATAACATTACTAAGATGTTTCTTTGTGGCTTTTGCTTAAAGCTTCCAAAGTTTAGAGAAAACCTAAATGAAAACAGGGTTATGTTTAGATCTCTAACATCCACATGAAGAAATATGTTGGTGTATTGAAATTCTTTACCTAATGGTAAACTTGAAGTAGACTGTTTAGTTTTTTAAAATGTATTTGGAGTTGCAGAACTTAATGCATGAAATTATATACATCTAAATTCAGTTGCATCAGTGCTGTGTGATGAATGTATTCTGCCTCAGCTATCTTCCCCTTCCCTAATGATCTTCAGGTAAGTGTAGATCAGATTTCAGATCTAGTGTTTCCAGAATTGATTTACCTCAATGTGAATTCTCTCACCTTCAACCAAGTGGCAAAAAATGCTTAAAGAGCATTATATGTTCTGGAACTGGAATACATTGTATTCTAATATATATCTAATAATGGTAATATAATTGAAGCACTTATCAATTCCCATTAGTAGCACATAAGATATATTAAACAAATGCATAACCTGATTTAGTGTTAGCAGGCTAGATAAACATTTCAATAATTTTCTAATTTTTTTTTAATGTAAGCAGAACTCTTCACATTTTATTTTAGTTTTATAGGATTTATATAGCTTTATTACTATATTAATTTCCAGATAAGGGAAAATAGCTTTAAAAAAACACATTTAGGTTTGTAAATTTTGAAGCTCCTAAACAAAAGAATTTTTATCATTCAATTTAGTATATACTGAGGAAGTATTGGCATGAGCAATCAAAGATGCATTTGATGTGTGAGCATACTTTATAGTTCCTTAATTAAATCACATACATCATCTGGGTAATCATTTCATCCATTTCTATACTGCCCAGTATTATTTCAAGGACTACATTCTCCTGCTGCTAGAAAGGTTTCAGAAATTCAATTTTATTTTTATTCACAAATACCAACTGTGGTGCCTAGATCTTGGTTGGGCAGAGAGGTGTAGCATGGTGGGTAATTAGGTACACTGTAAAGCATCTGTACTGCCCTGTTTCTACTTATCCATACATTTGCACATTTTTACTTAAAATATAAGTATAACATAATCATTTAATAATTTCCATAAAATTGTATTGAATTGGTCATACTCTTTACATATAGTTTATCTGGATTATGAGAAAAAGTGACCTTGTGAATTTTTTGGAAGGACAGGGAAATGTGACCCCTGGTTAAGAGAAAAACTGCTTCAAATGCCAAAAACTAAAATTGGCAGTAATGTTTCTGAAGTGCACCTCTGATAAGTAGAGTTATCTCAGTATAGCCAACGTTAACTCATTTCTACATGCCTTTGAAGAATATGCTGCATTCTTTAAAACAGGCACAAATTTTGCTTAGAACATGTAGTTAAAATTCATAGAAAAGCAACTTGACATACCAAAGAGATTAGACTTCTCTTTGCATCTGCAAATCTATAAGAATATATTGTTTTACTACTTATTGAATACTGATTTTTCCTTGTTTGGTTTTACCTTTGCATATTTGTAGCTGTTTGCTTATATCCTTGGTATTACATGGTTTCATTACACTTTCATTATATGTTTTATTTATTTTAAATTCAAAATGTAAAGAGTTACTAAGGAAGCCTGATAGGTGCTAGAAGATAATGTACTATCAAGAGATTTAAAATTTTTTTATTTTAAGTAGTTTTCCTTTTGGTTGTTTGCTCTTAAAATGGATACCTTTGTTTAGCAGTAGCATTACTTTTCCTGGCTTATTTTCAGTTTTTATAAGGAAATTTAAAATTTGTTTGCTTTGTTGTTTTTTGCTTTGATATTAAAAATTGAGATACATAAGGAAAATAGTGTCTACATTTTTTATTTTCTTAATAAGTTAGATTTCTTCCTTTAGAGTTGTATAAGAAAAGAACTCTCTAGTGAACACCTAATCTTTATAAAGTAGTCTTTTAATTGTGATAAAATGATTACTGAGTTGCAAATGGAGCTACTAAAAGTAGCTTTAGACATGAATGTTACCGTCAGACATAATCATGTCAAAGTTGTTCCTATTATTTTTCTCCTCCATTTTAGGGGTAGTAAAGGAAGCAATCCTAGAAAATAACCCTTAGAGAAGAGTCTATGTCCGAATCACTTTTCATTTATAACCCACATAATTTCTTAAGGTTCATTTTAAAGTACCATAACGCTGGATGTCCTTTTATATTTGTTTTCCTTTGTTCGCTTTTCAGTGTGAATCTGTTGAACTTAGTCATACTTTTTTTTGTTTCACCTAAGAGTGTATTTTGCTCATTTTAATATTTGTATACTGAGCTAATTTTCATACCAAAAGAAACAAGAGTATGAGCTTTATTTCTCTTAGTGTTTTATAACATTTACTTTCATATTTCTATTTTATAATAACTCAGTTACTTAAGAAGTGGGTTTTTTAAAAGTGAGTTTAATCATACTAGAGAGCTCTCATCCAGTTACATTTTACTAAAACTTTAGTCTTCATTCTTTTGTAGTAGACCAAGAGAAATAAGTATTTCATTGTTACCATGGTTTATAGAAGCTCAAACCTCAGTCTTTGCCATTCAACAGATAACTAAGACAGTATCTTAGTTATTTTTCATCCTCCTAAAAGAAGCACTTGGTCATATCTTTTTCACCTAAATCAGTAACTTGCTTAATTTATTTTTTGATGTAAACCCTAACAGTCTAGGTGATCAGGTTTCCCAGCGCATCTCAGACTGTAACCTTCGGCATAAGGGACCTTGTGTCGCCCTAATGAGAAGAACTACAAAATTTAGGTATAACTAGAAAAAAATAGTGTAGGGCTATGTAGTATAAGGGCACAGAGACCTGCTTTGCTTGATAAACTTTATAGATATAACCCATAGTAAGTGATTAATGAAAAAGTCTAAAATTTTAAGTTAAGCTTATTTTGCTTTAGAAAGTAGGTAAATATGAATATATTTTGGGTTTGGGGTAGTTTTTTGTTGTTTTGTTTTGTTTTGGCTTATTTTGTGGGTTTTTTTGTTGTTTTGTTTAAGAATACTTTTGTTTGGTTTTTTTCTTCCTCTTGTAAAGGTTTTAATCATGGAGAGTAAACCTGAATTGCTTTTAACAATTAGCTATATTAAAAATGAGTATCTTATTCCCTGTGTACCATATAAATGAGATAGCTCTAAGTATTATTTTGTTCTAAAATGCTAGTTTGGTGTTTTTGTTTGTTTATCTAGTTTGGTTTTTAGTTAGCTCATTTAAACTGTTGTAAGCCACTTGATTTAAATAAATACTGAAGTACTTTTTTTAAGATTTTAGATCAACTTGTTATGTTTTCTAGAAGTTTAAACTTACCATGTGCATAACTAAATGTCAGTTGGAAATGAAATGCATGCTTATTTTATAAATGCTTATTTTTAGTAAATAAAAATCTTGGTTTTGTTGTCAGTATCAAACTTCCAGAGTTGTCTTACTTTAGATAACCAACATTCTGTTTGCATACTAGGGAGTGGCCCTTGTTAAATGGAAGAGTTCCAGATAGTTTTTCATATTTAGTTTTTAAAATCCCATGCTTGTTTACTAGTAGTAACAGGATGTCAGCTTCATTATGGCACACAGCACACCTGTCAACAACTCTGCTATTCAAGCCATGCATACATTTCCCCACTACTTTAGAAATTCTGAAGACAGGCTCCTGAGTGTGTAATGAACTGAGCCTATGAAATTGTTCCGCTGACAAGGATCAACCATTTAACTTTTTTTATCTTGCTTTTTTGATACGGACTAGTAAAAGACGATTGGAGTGTTGAGTTTGTTCATTATCTGTTCTACTTATGATGTTTTATTTTGATACAATTGAACAAAGTAGAATAGAGATGCCATTTAATGAATAAGAAGCAGTTTAATTGAACAAGGTTGGAAACCTAATGTCTCTTTATTTTCTTTTAAAGTTATTCCTTATTGATTTTGGTTTGGCCAAAAAGTACAGAGACAACAGGACTAGGCAACACATACCTTACAGAGAAGATAAAAATCTCACTGGCACTGCTCGATATGCTAGCATCAATGCACATCTTGGTATTGAACAGAGGTGAGTTTGAAAATTGAACTTTTTATCAAATTCATAGCAAAAACCATTAACAGGTTTTAGAAATATTTTAATTAGATTCTTAAAATTTTTAAAGATGTCTCTTGGCTGAAGATTTGAAGAATGCTCATTAATCCTTTTTATCTGCTGGTTGAGACAATAAAGAGAAGCCAATTAAATGAGGCCTCTTTTTTTTTTTTGGAAGGTTGTCTCTTGGGGAGAAAATATTACATGATGGAAAGTTAAAGGATAAATGCAACTTTATGTTTATTTTTACAGCTGAAGACAGTTCTTATTTTCTTAATACTGATCTTGGGCTTTTTATATTTTAGTGATGCAAGTTGAGTTTTGGGGAACAATGTATTGGTTTTTTTTTTTTTACAAGGAAAATGTTACCCTAGTGAACCAAAAGGGTATTGGTGGACTAGCTTCTGTTCTACTCTTCTAGTCCTACATAAATTAATAGGATTTGATTTAAACATTGTCATAATTTCTATGCTTTCTATTTTTTGACCTGGGTTCTAGTTTTTCATCTACCTTCATCTTTCATCAGTCTTGTTTTTGTTTTTGTTTTCTTAAAACAAGCATAGAAATGACATATTACATGCTTTCAGATTAGGGGACTTCATGAGAAGAGTTTTAAGCTTAGGAAATAACCATGAGTATCTGAATACCTTGAATTAAACTATAATTTCACATCTTCTGTAAGCCAGTGTATTACCAATCCTTAAATACATGTTTCTGTCTGAATGTGTGTGTGTGTGTGTGTGTAAATATAAGTGTATGTTCATTTATATATTCATAAAGTTGTTTAATTAGCTTTAAAATATTAATTTATTTCAGCATCCCTAAATTATCTTTGTGAGCTTCTGCAAAACTTGTGTGTCCTAATACGTGGTTCTTCCATCTTTATTAGTAACCTCATTTAGAAAATTATATGGCTAAATTCTTTTCGTTTTTCTTAAAAATTAAATATCTGGATGATGTTGTGTTTTATAGTTTTGGATCCTATAAGAAAATTTTGTTTAGAAGTAACCCCATAAACTAAGTAAGTTTTTCACTAGACACCAAATTAGTCTCTGTCCTTGCTTGGGAATATTTGTTCTTGTGTACCTGACTTACTTTCACATGTTCTTTACAGTAATTCCAGCTTACAAACTTACGTTTTCTTTCTCTAGTCGCCGAGATGACATGGAGTCATTAGGATATGTTTTGATGTATTTTAATAGAACCAGCCTGCCATGGCAAGGACTAAAGGTAAGCCAAACTGACGTTACCAGTGTTTTGGTTTTGTTTTAATAATACAAATATATATTGGAGATGACCTTTAAGGTCCCTTCCAAGTATGAGGTTTTCTGAGAGTGAATAACTTTATCTTTACCTTTTATTGGGAAAATTAAACCTGATTACTTCAATAGGAAATTCAGTAGGAAATAATAGACTACCACTGTCACACCTGAAGAACAGTTTCCTTTGCAACAATAAGCAGGTACCCCATGGGTAACCAGTAACTTTTTGGGATAGAGCTTGACATGGGCTAAGAAGAGTGGAGACTGTCTCATTTTGATGTATTGCCATTATGCTGACAATCTATACTTTTATGTATAGTGGAACTGGTTTATCTAGTAATTCTAGCTGTATTATTTAGTTATCTTAACATTTTACTTCTTGCTATTAATTAGTTTTACCATTACTTTTGTGAGTATTTGTGTGTTAATGATGAAGTACTATGTTCTAGAATTTAATGGCTATTTGATATTTTATTGGTCCTTTAAAGGAAAATGGTCCCTATATTTATTGAGTATCTGAGTTCAGTGTTGTGTAGGTAACATTATCCAGTATGAATACTTTGTTGCAGAAACACTTTGACTTAACATCAATTATAAATGTCACTAAATCATGGGCACTTTTTTTGGAGGGATGGTATTGATCTGCTTATATCTTTGCCCTGTTGTTGAATGTGGGTTAAGAAATCTTATTTCTCCCCCCCTTTTTCCCCCCAAAATCTCATTTCAAGTTTAACTCTACCCATTTTTACTTAAATCATACATCTTGATGTTCCTGTTAGACTCACCCTTTCCTAATAACTAAAAACGTTCTTAAAGTAGGAAGTCATGTGAAAAGTTAACAGTTTAGGAAAAGAAAAATTTAGATGCATTATACTTGGAATTCTTTTTTATTCTAGGCTATGATTTCTCTTGAATATCAAATTTTACTTTTATGTCTAGTGTGTTAAACTAATAAGGTTCTTCTCAGTAGTGTTGAGTATGTCTGTGTGGTTTAATTCATTTTCCACAGGCTGCAACAAAGAAGCAAAAATATGAAAAAATTAGTGAAAAGAAGATGTCCACGCCTGTTGAAGTTTTATGTAAGGTCAGTGTACATGATGAGTTTTTTGGTTTTTTTTTAAATATGAGTGATCCCCAAAAAGGGAACATTTTACTTCTGTGCTCCAGAAGCTAAGCACCCTATTAGGTAGCTATTTTATTATTTCAAATTTAATTTTTGATGATCTAGATATCTCTAAGAATAGCTTGAACATATGAGTCATTTTAAATAATTGTTTTATGTTTCTGGTTTGTTTGAGCCCTAAAATCTAATCTGTTCGAAATTGGAGGAAAAATAAGAAGGCAGGCAAATTTTTCTAATAGAACCATATCAATCCATGAGAAAATTAAAGTAAGAAATACTCCCCTTATCCCTAAACTGGTTCTAGAGAAGAAAGGATATCCACAATTGGAATATCAAGGAGTTAGGGAAACAAAGGCAGGCAGATCAGAACGGTCGAAATATAGCAAGTGTTTGACAGTATAGATGGCATCATAGATGAATGAGGTTCATTTCTCTGAAATCTCAAACTTTATAGAGAGGTATGTGAGTTGAGAATGGAAAGATACTTGTTGTCATGATGGATTATCATGGTCCCTTTCATAGAAAGAAGACCGCTGGTCATCTTTGTGACAGTTGCATACCTGAAATGATTAGAAAACCAAAATTATATAGTTGGGCGATAGAAGGGAGAAATCGGCATGAATTGAAATAGTACTTTGTGGAAGGGGGGATATGGTGATGTTTTTATGCATCCACAAATTTGCTTTCTCTTTTCCTACACACCTACAGGAAAAGAGGGGATGGTTTGGGAGAATATGATCTTTTGGGGCTCTTTGGGATTTGTTTTAAATTACGAAATATGTTTTAAGTTAATGAATAAAATATTCATGTTAATTGTCCTCTCCACCCAAATAACTTAAAAATCTTACACTTTAGGAAGCAAAACATTGTATTTTCTTACACTACTTACTTCCAAAGATTCATTGCCTTATCGGGAAATTCAGCCATTTTTACAGGAAAAGAAAGGGAGGATTTGGTACATTCTCTACTTGTGGGCTACATCTTAATTTTGATCTTAAAAATTGTATACTATGTATTTCTGAATTAGAAACATAAAATTGATTCCAGGCACAGTGAACATGGCAGTATTAGGTATTACTTTAAGTAGTGGGATTGTTTTTAATCTCACGGTCCCGAGGCACTTCTTATTTCATATGTGTAACGTTAAGTGGTGTTGGTGATTTTGTCAAGGTTTTGCCTGTTTTCATGTGACTGCGCGTAAAATTCACTATTTGACCTTCAGTTCTTCAGTTGTCATTAACTCTGTTTGTAATACGTGTAAAAGCAAGTTCGTTTGCTAAATGCTGCTTATCATCAATACAGACCATGAATATATATTCAGAATTTAAAAGTCTTATTAAGTGTTTTTTAAACAATAAAAATGTACGGTATTTTAGTTTTAGCTGTCCCCTGAAAAATGAAACAGTATGAAAGTATTTTGTAAAAATTAAATCTATTTGCATCAATGCAATCAATAAAAATAAATGTTGCAGGTGTATACATTCTACCTTCTGGATGTGAAAAATTTCTCAAAAGCATAAGATTGTGGGAAGAGACTGCATCTTTTAACTCACCTCCCTTAACAATTCACATACACTCAAGGGGAGGAGTTGTATGGATTTTTGTTTTAATAATTTATTTCTACATTCCTGAGGGCGAAGTCCTTTGGTGACCAATATCTACAGCCTTAAAAATGTTTATATAAATCCTCAAGAATCTTTCCTAAGAAACCAGACAAGCAAAAAGTTCATGCCCATGGATGTACTTATTAGTGTTGTTTATAATAGAGAAAAATTGGAATCCCCTAAATGTCCAATTATAGGGAACAGGTTAATTATGATATATTTGCTAGATCAAATAATATGCAGTGTTTTTGAAGTTCGTGAAGAGGTTGGAAATAACCTAGAAGAATGCTTGCAATCTGTTAATGGGAAAAAGCAGGCTTTTATGAATGGAATTTAGTAACAGTTATGGGAAAAAGAAAAGACAAGCCTGGTCTGTTTGTAGGACATTGGATTGATCTATATCATAATAGCAGTTGCTTTGTATGATTGCACTCTTGGTGATTTGATTTTTCTGTGTATATATATTTCTCTACTACTATTAAAAAAGAAAAGTAATTTCAGAATGGAGTACCCATTACTTACCTTGTTCTAGCAAAGAACATTGCTGGCTTCCGTTTTGTCATTTGTTCATTGTTACCATCCAATTATTAGATACTCATAAAATAATAGATTAACAAGTGGGATATCTGGATTATTTAAAAACATGATACAGGAAAAGGATACTTATTTTCTTCTACCAGTATTAAAAGATATTGTACATAAAAAGGTGCTCAGGACGATAAAATTTTGTTAAACTTATGTGAATACCAAGTCATAGTATAGTTTTTTTAAGTTCTCAGATCTTCCAACAAAGTAGTAAAACATCCTCAAATACAGTTTTCACTTGTATTTAAATACCTCTTTTTTTCTGTCTTAAATAAATTTGTTTTTTTTTACTTGTGTTTTAACTCTTAAACTTGTAGGGGTTTCCTGCAGAATTTGCCATGTACTTAAACTATTGTCGTGGGCTGCGCTTTGAAGAAGCCCCGGATTACATGTACCTGAGGCAGCTATTCCGCATTCTTTTCAGGTAGGTTTTTAAAACTATAAACTCCAGCGAGGGAAATTAGTTAAATCCACCCAACATTATCTATTCTGACAAGTAGCAAGTAAAATTATGTCTAATCCTTATGAATAAAATGTTAACCTGTAAGTTTTGACATTTTTCCATTTCCAAATGTCGTTGAAATATTTCAGTTTGGGATGGAGAAACTGTTGAATCAGACTCAAAGTAGAGTATGTTTTCCACAATAGTTACACAATTCACATTAGATAAAAGTGGCTGTTGGTGGCACTTGGGACTCCCCAGCTTGATAGAGAACTCTATTCAATTCTAGCTGAAGAGCAGTTGAAGTATCAGACGGTTACGGAGTTTATGACAGCGTAGGGGCAGGCCCAAACTTTGGGATCCCTAGGTGCAGCCCACACATGGTCTTGGAACAAACTATATATGTAGAAAATAGAGTATATGTAGCTCAGAATCTTAGTTGGAAGAGAAGAATTAGAGGTAATCTCTAATTCCAGCAAAGTCTTTCCAAGCCACCAGCGTAGATGTCTCTTTCACAGACTTGCAGTCCTATGTCTACTCCGTATTATTTTTAGAAGGTACCTCCTATTCTCATTATCCCCCTGGATAATTAATAGCTTGACTTGGTTTTAGTTGCTCATGTTTTCATTCCCACTCCCCTGCTCCTTTCAGGAAAGTTTAAAGGCAGCTTCTTTTTGAAAAGGGGAAGGATTTATTCTTCTTGAATACAGCAGACCAAAGTGGTGACATCATTTCTCTCCAATCATAACATGT